TATGCATTGTATATACCCTTATGTTATCTCATAAACTACTCTCAGCCTTAGGGAGAGGGTGAGAATAGAAAACCAGGCAACCTAAGGAAAGGAGCCCTAGGCATCTTTTCCCTATTAATAGTAACATTTGGGGTCTGGCACAGCCTCATAATAGATTGCAATCCACACAGCTCTTCAGCCTTCTCTCCTGATAAATCTGCTGCATCTCTGCACCATTTCTAAATAAAAGAGACACCATCACACCAAGCAGCAGTTACACCCTCCCACTTCACTCTATTTATATGTTCCTGCCATCAAGCAATTAAAATAATGAATACTTTACAAAACAACAGGTAAGCAGCCTGCCTGCATAAAGATAGTATTAGCTTAAAATGTACCTGCCGTGCCTCTAAATAAGGTGCCAATTAAAACTAGAAACAGTCTAGGTTTCTTGAAAGATTCATTTTTCTGGCTCGTGGATGGCTGCAACGTTGTGTAGTTAATTCCCCAGTGTGGTGAGAAGTCCCAGCAAAGCAGACCCTCCGAAAGGGTGGGGTTGAATTTCCCGTGAAAGTGTAGGGCCCTTTTGCAGGCAGCGTAGAGGGAGGTTTCTGTGATGCGCTGGTGCCCTTCCTCTGATAGTCCTGTAGTTTCATCCCTTCCTCCAAAGCGGTGATGCCCAGTCTGGTCTCCTTTCCCTGTCCAGTGGCCTGCCTTGTGTACCTGGAGTGCCACACCTGCCCGTTTGCCGAGGGGTCTGGGCTGCACCATGGGGCACGCTCGCGTTTCGGGCAGGACCTGTGTGCCGAGCAGACCCAAATATTCTCTGCAAGTACCAAGAAATGCCAAGACCTTCAGGACCATCCTGGAGCAATCTGGGATTAGCGAGCAGAAGAGGGCTGTGTTGGCTTCAGAGGAATCGTCTCAGTTGCCTTTTCTTTGGGAAAGTTCCTTTTCTGCTTGTGTCCAGAACGTAGCTCCACCGGCCCCAGCCTGGTCCCCTGCAGATGTTTGGGACTGCAGCTCACATCAGCCATAGACAACATGCCCAACGGTATGACCTGCGAGGAGCAAGGATGGACCTGCTGGAGAGGCAGCCCAAAACACCTGGAAGGCAGAGGACATGGGGTGGTCGTGTGAGGCCCTCAAAGATCTTAACTATGGACCTGGTGAGAGCCTCTTGCACCTGCTTGTAGCACCTGGCTGGGAAGTGGCTTCAGCTCAGTGGCATGCCTGCAGAAGAGTCTCCATCCAGTCCCTGGGATGTCAAGACTGAGGGACTGAGGCCCCAGAGAACCATTGCCAGTCAGTTAGGAAGAGAGACTGATTGCCTGATTTGGTGTAAGACAATGCTCTGAGTATCTGCCTTTTTCCTGCTTTTGCACGGATATTCTGGCATTACAGGTTTGTGGGTCAGGTAGTCTTTGGGGAGGGGCGTGCATTTTAAGGCTGGTGTTGTAAGAAACATGTTCTGCCGCACAAAGTTTTGGATGTTTACCCAGAGGGAAATGTGCTGTGCATCTACATGTGCTGATGCATTGAATTCAGTGGGGCTTACTCCTGAGTAAGCCAGCATGTGTAGGGCTTCTGCCTTTGGGCAGGATGAAATTAGTCATTCTCAAAAGCTTCTTGTACTGGGCAAGTACTTGTGTGTGTGCTTGTCTATGGACCACCATGTTTTCTTGCCTCACAACTCCAAATGCAAGGCTTCCTGAAGGTCTTCTGAAGTTAAAGTTTAATTCCTTCTGCATCCTCATAAAAGTTGTTCTGAGTGTTGCTGGTGAATAGGGAAGGCTTGATGGGTCTGTGTGTGTTTCTGGTGCAGATAGCCTGCTCCTGGTACAGGGTGATCAGGGAATTCTAGTACCAAATCCAAATTGGAATCCATATTAAAATGATGGGTGTGCACCGAATATGAGGTTCAGATTGGACTGATTTGGAAAATCCATCCCTAACTGCTGAGCACATAGAATCTCTGTGTAAGGCCATTCCTGCGCACTGCTCTGGCCCAGGTTACCCCAACCCCTGCTCATAAAATTCGGTGAGTGCAAGTGTTTAGTGCTTCTTGGAATGATTGCCAGCTCCACCATCAAGGGGCAGGAAGGCATCTGTGACTTTAGGGACAGCTTCAAAATGTGCACCATTTTGGAATGGCTCTTGCTGTTGGTTGGGGAGACCCATGAGAGTCATTATTTAGAAGAAAAAAATGCTGCCTCTGCTGTGAGGGCATGGAATGTTCATAAACATTTAATCTTCGCAGGGAGAGAGAGAAAAGTGCAATCGAGTTTCTGTAAGAGAATGGAGAGTTGCCAGTTAGCCTGAGACAGAAACCTCACATAGCTTCTACAGAGTAGCTCTTTGTGGGTCAGGGTAAGAACTTGCGTAGTGCAGTAAGAAAGGGAAATTAATTGCTTTGGTCCAGAGGCAAAACGGGTGCAGCATAGGGAATGGACAGACAAACAGGAACCCAATGAAGTACAGAAGGAGGCTGAATACAGAGGACCGACAGAGCAGACAAATACTGAGCTACCTGCTGAAGGAAGCCGGGTTAACGTCACCAGCAGGCAGATGTGTTTTAAATAAATGTAAGCTGCAAGGGGGTTAATTGCCTGATATTGTTTGTTTTAGTGTTGTTTTTTTAAATTAAGCTTTTAGTTCATTTGCTTTGTTTTAATTAAGATGCTGGGAATCTGGAATTTATTGTTAGCTGCCTTGAGTACCATTGTTAGGGAAAGACAGAAGGGTAAGATGGAAATAAATAAAATGAAAAATAAAGAAATGGAAACAAGAAGGGCCTAACGAGAAAGGGATCTCACAGCACCAGGACTGATGGACATATTAAATAGGAGGTTAGTCCTTTGGCCATCCTTACTATCAATTTCCTAGGGGACGTGGCATAGCAAAGAGACCGGGCAACAAAGAAAGCAAGAGGTGGGCTGAAAAACACGGGCTGAAGAAACCCTCTGGGAGAGGAGCTGTGGGTTGGGAGAAAGGAGGCGCGGAGGAGGAAGCCGAGCTCAGATTGGAGGCCCGAGCTCAGATTGGATGCAGGGACCAGAGACGTATGTCCCACTGGCCATAAAGAAAAGGACAAGGAAGAGGACCTTGGAGGGCTTGAAGACTGAGCGAAGTCCCCTGAACTTGCGTGTGAGGAGCGCAGCCTTTCTGTTCACTTCTGCGTGTGAATGGCTGCGGTCAGTGGCGGCTCAGCCCACGTAGCCCTGCGAAAATGCTCCTCTTTGATTTGCGCCTTCCTCTCTCCCTCCGGTGACTCAGTGCTGGCAGACCGAGAGGAGTTCCTTGCATTAATCACACAGCTCTCTCTCAAACAGTGGCTCTTTGACAACCCAGCAGCTTGCTCTAAGATTGGCAGCTCCGCGTTCCATTTTTGTGCGGTGTTTTAGACTTCACACACCTCCCCAGTGTGAGCTTCCTCGGAAAACTAATTCTAGAAACTATAATTTAAAATGATACATGACTAATAGTCACATTCACCGTGTGTTGCTTTTAGGCGGATTTTGCCCATGTACGTACATATTTTGCACTGAGGTTTGCACGCAGGACTGTACAAATGTGTGGCTGCGTTCGTTGCAAGTGTTCCGAGTGCCAGCTTCGTTGCACAAGGGATTTGAGAAAGGAACCTGCCATCCAAGGAGTTAATGCCTACAAGGGCTCTCTTTGAAGCCTTGAAAATATCAGTCCCTGTATGCAGTGGGCACAGAATGGGCAAGGAAGAATGTCCACCTGCTCTGAAAGTAATTCAGTGCGGGGACTCGCTTGGCCTGTTAAGTTCCCCGCTAATGATTTCCCTATTTGCCTTCTGCATGAATGCGCCAGCACACCGTGCCTTGCAGGGGGGACTTGTTGAGGGTTCAAGGTGTTCTTGCCGCCTGCAGCAGGATGGTGCTCCCTGTCCCACTAGGGCCAACACTTTAAACTGGGGTGGGGGGCTAGTTTTGGACCCTGGGCGTCACAGGACTCATGCCAGCTGGGGCGATGCCTCTCCCAAAAGTGGGTGAAGCCACTGCTGGGTGCCTGCCCCCGTTTGTAAACCTGCACAGCACTCACGGACACACTGTGTATGCTCACAGCCCTACCTCCTTGGCTGCTCCATGCATGAAGGTGAGGGAGGCATTTCCAGCCCCATGGCCAGAAGACAAGACAAGCCTCCTTCCCCCCGCCCCTGCCCCCCTGGCCAAAGTTCCCTTTCCTCACTCTCGGCACTGTTGGCAGGGGAAGGGAGTGGGCCTCGGGGGAGATGTTTGGCAGAGCAGCTGGGGTACCCTTGCAGGTTGTATTTGGCCCATGGACTGAAAGATTCCTGGGCCAACTCTAAAAAGCCCTTCTGCACCATTAAGCCACCAGTCCCTGCTTTCGTATCCTCAGCCTCCAGTGTTGCCCAGAGGTGTGCGCTTTCCCCCATAGTGCAGCAGGGCCAGCCCTATAGAAATGGCATTGTGCAACTTGGTGACTTGGAAGGGTGGGCTCCTGCCCTGCCCTCTTGCCCGGCCCTCTTGCCTTGCCTTGCCCTGCCTGCCTTGCCCTCCTGCCTGGCCCTCTTGCCCTGCCCTGCCCTGCCCTCTTGCCTGGCCCTCTTGCCTTGCTGTTTTGCCTTGCCCTGCCCTGCCCTGCCCTGCCCTGCCCTGCCCTCTTGCCTGGCCCTCTTGCCTTGCCTTGCCTTGCCCTGCCCTGCCCTGCCCTGCCCTCTTGCCTGGCCCTCTTGCCTGGCCCTGCCCTCCCTTCCCCAAGCATAGTAGAGTTTTGGTGAGTGTAAAGCTTTCCAGTTGGAGGAAACCCAAGCAGCTTATGGCTGCATTTCTTGAAGCTGACTGCCTGATGACTGTCATTAACAGGAAGAGTCTTCTTTGAATATCTACTAGAAGGCAGCAATTTTCCCCTTTGGCAAAGGAACGTGATTTTCCCACTCAGCGTCTGTTCTGGCCATAACTGTTGCATTTATCTGGTGCTTTGCTACTGCTAGCTGGTGCCGTTCTAACTCTGCTTCCCATTTCCTTTCCTAGGAGGCCCAGAAGATAAATGGCAACGCGGAGACCCAGGCAGATGGGGACCTCAAGCCCACAGACGAGAAGGAAGAAGTGGTGGCAGCAGAAGTGGGCTGGATGACCTCTGTGAAGGACTGGGCAGGGGTGATGATTTCTGCCCAGACCTTAACTGGCAGAGTCCTTGTGAGTTTCCCTGTGCTTGCTTCCATTTTTCGTCATGCTTTTTTCTCCTTGAGGAGCAATTAAACTAGCTAGCTGAGACCAGGACCCTCCTTTAAAAGCGCTGTGAGCTGCACATATACAGTAATTTCCCTTTCCAGCAGTAACAATTTAAAATAAAAGGAAACACTGTTAGGATCAAGGTGCCAAATGATATGACACTGACAAATACTTGTGCGATTATGTTCGGAGAACTTGCCCTTTTACGGTGGACTTTGCTAGACTAATTTCAGCACAGAAAATTAAATGGGGGCAGGTGTATTCCCAATGTAGGGAATTGAATTGGTTCTTAACGTTAGGAAAATTAACTTGCTATTTCAGGGAGGATTAGATATTCAGGTTAGGCCATCCTTTTTCATAGCTGTAACTTTGCAACCTCCTCCAAACAGCAATTCTTAATTTAGCATAGATGCCTTGAGTTATACTGAAAGCCTGTGAGCATTTTCATAATGAACATAACAGGTTTGGCTAAAGATCAGAGAGCCCATGTTGAAATTCAAACTCTGTAAGCTACTGGAGTAAAAGAGAACTAGAAGATTGATTGTCTGAGGTTCTTTAAATCAATGATTTTGGAACCAGTAAGAAACACTGTGACTCAGAAAAATACATTGCCGAAGATGGTGTTATTCTCTTATGGTTAGTAAACTATGGATTACTAGATGGGTTGTTTTATACTTGAACAGGAAAATCAGAAATGTGGAATATTCTAACTCATGAGTTTGAGACATGGCATCTCACGCCGTCTGATTCTCTGCCCTTTTCCTCCAAGCCTTCTAAGTCCTCACTTGGGCAGAACAGTTTTGGATGCAGGCCCTGTGGCAACACCATGGCGTTGTGATGGATGATGCGTTTAGGTTGGGTAGGTGAAAAGCAGCTGTCTGCTAAAACGTGCTGCAGCCAGCAGGATAATTGGAGTTAATCACTGAGATTTAATAGAGATTTGGAGTCTTAATTTGGGTCCCACACTGTTGAGTCATGAAGAACCTATTAGAATGGATTTTAATGCTTTTGGCTTTATCACCTCATTGCCTCCTTTAAAACCATAGGGTTAGATCCAGAGTTAGTCATGCCTAGAGTAGACCCACCCAAGTCAGTGGGACTTGAGTTGCTTATGATTACCTTTTCCCATTGATCTGAGTAGGTTGATTCTACACATGGATAAGTCGGGATGTGTGCCATGAAGCTGTTTATGACATGCAAAAAAGAGGCATGCTGATGCTTCACAACATGTTGTAGAGCAAATTCCTGTGTCAGTGGGTGTAATTGCTAAGCAGTTGGCATGTCGACTTACATATATACTATTTAAAATGTTTATATAGTTAAAATATGCATAGTTTACATCTCAGAGGTTTCTGAAGAATGTTGTAAGTTTGTATAGTGCATTGCCTGGATATAAGTTTAGTCTGGGGAAACTAGAGATAATAGGTTGAATTTTTTTTTTTTTTAGGTTGAAATTTTTTATTTAACTAGAGATAATAGGGTTACCTAAATCTTATTTAGGACTCTTGGTGCTGTTTATAAATTCAGTAAATACATAAATAAATGTATGCAATTATCATTCTTTTGGAATAATCCAGTAGTATGCCATGGAATTTTTATCATGAAGGGTAGCAGGGATCTATTTAAATGCAGCTTTTATTTAAAGGAACTGGGAATGACATTTCTAGTTCCAGTTTTTATTTTCTTGAGCCAAAATGAACATTCTCCTTTTTTCATTTTTAGGATTTTCTTTTCATAGTTGCAATAGATCACTAGCATGGGGCCTGTCTCTGTACATCAGCAGTGAGGAAGTGTGAATCAACAAAAGCCAATCAACTTGTCAAGGTTGTTCACATTGTCCTGACTCATATCTCTACCCAGGCTACAAGCTTTGGTTTTCCTCTTTGCCCAAAATTTTGTATGCATTTTCGTGCACAATTCCCGCAATGTATGCCTCCACTGTGTACGTTTCTGAAATTACAATTTTCCCCTCCCATTTTTCAAAAAAAGTGTTGTTTTTCAAATTGCATTGCAAACTTGCAACTGCAGGTTGCTTTGGGATGTGGAATATGTGCACTGGATGAATTCTGGTTGAAAATGAATCAATCTGTGCGTCAGGAACCTGTTTTTGATTGGCATTATCTTTTGAGTTAGTTTGCTTTGTGAGAAAAGCACACATTGGACCATTATACATGGTATTGGAAGAAACACGTAGGAACAGTATACGTTTCAGTGCTTGTGGTTTTCATCTTGCTCAAGTACTACAATATTTTAAGAAAAAAATACTGAATTATAGCCCTGATTAAAATTGTATTTGATATTTCTCTTTCAAGACTTGTTAGAAGTTTAATAAAGAGAAATCCTCAAACCAAAATGAAATGTAGGGTTTCATTCTAATCCAGCCTTCCCCTGCCTGTTGCCTCCCAAATATGTTGGACTACAACTCCTATCAGCACAGCCAGTATGCCATTGGCTGGAGGAGATGGGAATTGTACTCTCACATATCTAGAGTGAAGAATGCTGTTTTACCCTCTGCTTGTGATGGTATGAAATTGCTCTAATACTTTGTTGTGATTGTCCATACATTTGGGACCGCTTCCAGCTAGCATTTTGCATCTAATTCAGTATGTTTGCAGGTATTTCTGTATGCAGTAAAACTCTAACCCTCTCTGAAACTGAAGGAATAGTTACTGAAAAGCTTTTAAAGAAATGGTTGGCTCTCTAGTTTCGAATGACTTACGCAGTGTATTCCTGACGGGCTGTTTCCTTTCATGCCCATCCCCTGCAAACCAACTGCAGAATGAAATTTCTGTTTTATTGAGAAAAACATTACGGCTTTTTGTGGGTCAGTCGTGGATCAAAATTAGATCAGCTTGAGTGGCAGATGAAGAAATTATAGTACCTTTTCATACTGTTGGCCACAGTTTAAATCACAATCAATCTTCCAGATTCACTATTAAATAACCTTTAGGAAGTGGTTCATTGAACACTTGGGTTGAGGGGGAAGGAAATGTAGCGATCAATTTTTGGTTTGGCTTGCTCACACAAAGAAAGCTGCTGGATCTCTCTGGCTTAGAGTCATTTGTTAAGCAAAGGAGTAAAGTTTGGCAAAAGTGTGAATGCTGAGCTAGGACAGAGTTCCATGCTTGTTTCCCATTTCCTTGGAAGGGTCTCCAGTGAGAGTGTCCGTAGCTCAGGGCAGGGAATGTTTCTCATCATGGTCATACGACTCGTGGCAGAAGAGTCCTTGAAGATCAGTCAGATGTGGCCAGGTGTTTTTGTCATTCCTGGAGTCCCTGTTTTCTGTGGCTCAATCTCAGAGGCCGTAGAGGAAGAACGGAGTGTTGTGAGCAGGTTTTTTCTCCCTTTGAACCTTTAGGGTCACAGACTGTTCCTTCGCAAAAGTTCTTTATACACCAAAGGATACCCAACAAACACAATGTGTCTCTGTGCATGCACAGAGTAGTTCATTGAACCCAATCGAGCAAGTACTTCCAGGAGCAGACACATGCCCTTTTGAGTATGTCTGGGACCCAACCCTCTGGGAGAACCCTTCTGAAGCTGAGCACACCTTTTCTCTGTATGCTGTGCTTCTAGATTGTTGGCCTTCGTGGGTGTCCTACCAACTTTGTGTGGCTCTCTGAACTCATCTCCCATGCTCTCGCTCAAGAGCTGGACATAGAAGTAGAGCAAGTCAGAAGGGGTCTCCTGGGCCATCTAGTCTGACCCCGGCTCCAGCCGACTCCACTCATGACATGCCTACCATGTGCATGTCCAGCCTATCCTTGAACACCTTCACCAATGGGGCCTCAATGACCTCCCGTGGAAGCCCATTCCACACCCTCGGGGTCCTCACTGTCAGGAAGTGCTTCCTGGCATTCACCCTAAATCTTGGTTCCCTGAGCTTTGCTCCATTGGAACACGTCCTGTGTTCCTCCACAGGGGAAAAACAGTCATGACCCACCTCTGTGTGACACCCCCTCACATACCTGTATGTTGCCAGCAGATCTCCTTGGAGTCTCCTCTTCTCCAGGCTGGAAAGACTCAGTTCCCTCAGTATTTCCTCATATGGCTTCCCCCGCAACCCAGCCACCATCCTTGTGGCCCTACGCTGTACCGATTCCAACCTTGCTATATCCCTCTTGTAATGAGGGGCCCAGAACTGAACACAATACCCCAGCTGCAGGCACACCAGAGCCGTATAGACTGGCAGTAACACCTCTCCCGATCTAGAAGCCACGTTTCTGGCTATGCATCCTAGGGTGGTGTTTGCCCTCTTAACCACAGGATCACATCATGTTTAGCCTGCAGCACCCAGAGAACCCTTTCACAAGCGCTGCTCTCCAGCCACTTGTCCCCTAACCTGTATTTATGACACCCATTCCGATGCCCCAAGTGCAAGATTTATCCACATTGATATGCACCGAACTCCATCGTGTTGTTCCCTGCCCACTTCCATTGTCTGTCCAGATCCTTCTGGGCCTGGAGGACCTGCTCCTCAGTTGTAGCCACCGCCCCCGTTTTAGTATCACTTCGGTTATTCCCAGAGCTTGCCTCAGCACCTGCAGAGAATGGCCTGGAGATAAGTCCCTGTGCTTCTCCCATCTCAGAGTCTGAAGCCCCCAATTCCAGTCTCCTTCGCCTCCTCTGATGAGCCCAGGTCAGCACAACTTGCCAAGAACAACGGCCCTTCTTATGCCTAAGCCAGAGGCCCACAGCATGATGCCCGAACTGTGCAGTCCAGGGTTCTCCATGTCATGAGTGGAACAGAGAGCAGTCCTCAGAAATCCCCTTAAGTTGCAGCCATGCTTAAATTGTGTGCACCAGCATGCTTGCGAATGTGGTTGTGAGTTGTCTGATGGATGGAGGCCTTCTAGTGTTAGGTGCTTTGCTAATGCAAACAACCATAAAAGAGGCAGCTATTAGTGATACCGAGAGCTGGAACTGTACATGTAAGATACGAGCCAGATGTGGAATGACAAGGA